ATTGCAGCGTGACCATCCCCCCTGGGGGGTGATTTCTCGCTTTCTGTCTCTATGTCTCTCTCTGTCTGTCTGGAGAGCGCACGCGGCCTATAGCGAAAATCTCTCTCAAAAAAAAAAAAAAAAAAAGATTACTTATTTATTTTTATTTATTACTATTATTTTTATTGTTTTAATTTGACCAGAGAGAGAGAAAGAAAGAGAAAGCGAGAAAGCAAGCTGCCAGGTCTGACATTTGAACCACGGCTGGCCATGTCCAGCACCTCAACCATCACACTGACCTGCCGGCACCCCTCAGAGGCAATTTCTTATAGGTTCTCCAGAGCCCAGCCCAATAGTTTGCATATGGCAGGGATTTTAATATATGCTGATTGAATCAATAAATGAATGTCTGCAAGCAAAACAAGTGGGGAATTCTGTCAACCTAAATTAACCATTCAGGGAGTATACTAGCAATTGCCAAGAATCAAAAAAGTGTTATGAATGGGCTAGAAGGTGGGATGGAGGGTACGGTGCTAGATCCCACATGCCAACTGCATGGTTTGAGTTCTAGACCTGGAGGCTTGAAAATCACGCCTGGCACATGTGCATGCATACCCAAAATCTAGAGAGAAGACTCGAGAAGGGACTGTGGAGTAACCACTCCCCACAGGAGGGTGATTTCTCACTTTCTCTCTCTCTCTGTCTCTCCCAGGTGAGCACATATGCCCTACAGCAAAACAAAACAAAACAACAAAACAAAAAAATACTAGCTATGAAGGATTCTCTTGGTGAGAGCCTATCTTAGTCAAGCCTCGATTGAAAACCAAGATGTAGATGTTCTATGTAGAGCCTCCTGCACTTTGAGAAGGTATTCAATGCTAAAACAACGTTTTAATGGCCAGAATATATGAACTAGTCTGTTTCCTAGCATTTGTTATTAGAACTCTATCATACCTAGTTCTGTCAAACTCCAACAGCTTGTCTTTATGCTTGATAGCCTTCTCCAGACCAGACTTCATTCGCAATTCTTGATGAGGAAGAAGATCCTTGACAGAGATGTCCACCTTTCCAGGATTCTCTGTCCCTGAAATTCAGTAAGAAAATCAAATGGTGTCAGCCTATAATATAAATTATTTGTATCACTGTGTAGTAAAGAAAAACTATCATAAAATGTGGTCAGGCCTAACAGCCTGCGGCGTTTGTTTTAATGAAAACAGACCAAGCCTTACTCTCGGTTCTCAATAAATGTTAGGGCACTTTTTTCCCTCATAGAAATTTAGACCACCAAAAGGGGGGTAATAATCTAATACTGCATGAACATGCCTGATGTGGGGGTGGGGAGAGGGAGGAGGGGCTCAGAAAAAAAACACTTAATATACATAGGAATGTAAGTAGAGGAGGCTTGTGGGTTGTAGAAGGGCATATCACAACTGACTAAAAAAACAGACATCATCAAGTACACACTCACACACTCACTCACTCACTAATACACACACACACACACACACACACACACAAAATCTCAAAAAAGAAAAACTAGCAGAGCAAAAGCTAATGGTATACAACATAATGTGGTGTTCTTTGTTGAAAAAGAGGAATATAGTAATATCCTTGATTTGATTATCACATACTGCATGCATGCTTTGAAAACCCACACTGTACTCCATAAAGATGTACAACAATGAAATGTAAGTAAGAAACTGTAAAATTAAAGTTTAAACAGAGGGGCAGCAGGTAGTGTGGTGGTTAAGGTGCTGGACCCCTACTGTGGTTCAAGTCCTGGACCTGGCAACCTGCTTTCTCACTTTCTTTCCCTCTCTGGTAAGCATATGTTCCCTACAGTAAATTAAATAATAATAAAAATAAGTAAAACTTAATAAATATCTAAACAAAAATAAATGAATATTAAATTAAAAAAAGAAAATGCTAGAGCAACAGGTGGTATAGAGGTTATGGTGCTGGATCCAACACAGTTGACTTCATGGTTCAAGTCCTGGGACCAGTGACTTGAAACTCCCACATGGCTGACTGTGGTTTGAGTCCCAGACCTGGTGGCTTGCTTTTATGCTTTCTTCTCTCTCTCTGTTCCTCTTTGGTCAAATTTAAATAACAAATAAGTAAATAAAGTTAAATGTAAAATAATTCTAAGAAAAAAAAAAAAAACCAGCATGGTACCAGCAGATGGTGTTAATGGTTACATAGCTGGAATCCCATGTAGCTGACTTCGATTCTAGTTCTAGACCCGGTGGCTTAAAACTCAAGCTGGGTGTGTCTGCATATATACCCAAAATCCTGAGAGGAGAATGAGGTAGAGGGATTGTGGGATAGCCATGGCCCTTGGGGGGTGATTTTTCTCGCTTTCTGTCTCTGTCTTTTCAGTGAGTGCACATGCCCTATAGCAAAAATCGCTATAAAAACCAAAACAAAAATAAAAAACATGTTGGGCACATGTAGTTGTGTACCTAAAATCCTAACTGGAAAATAGAGAAGGAGGGACTGTGGTGTGGCCATTCCCCCAGGGGGGTTGGGCGCAACAGATTTCTCACTTTCCCTCTCTCTCCCTCTCCAGCAAATGCACACGCCCTATGGCAAAAACTTAATTTAAAAAAAAAAAAAGGAGGGGACCAGCAGTTGGCGTAATGGCCATATCGCCAGACTCCCATGTAGTCAACCACGGTTCGAGTCCTGGACCCTGTGGCTTAAACTCATGCCGGGTGTGTGTGCGTGCGTGCCCTAGAAGAGAATGGAGGAGAATGGAGAATGGAGGAGAAGGGATTGTGATGTGTCCATCCCTCCTGGGGGGTGATTTCTTGCTTTCTGTCTCTTGTGTAACAAACTTGCCCTATAGTAAAACCCCCCCCAAAAAAAAAAAAAAAAAAAAAAGGAAATGCATTATAAAACATAAACTTTACATTTTTGAGAAGAGTTAAAATCACTTTTTTAAAAAAGAGATTTTTGCTTTAGGGTGCATGTGCCTGCTGGACTCCCACATAGTCTACCATAGTTCAAGTCCTGGACCCGGTCGACGTGTGTGTATAATGCTCAAAATCCTGAGAGAAGGGACTGCGGCATGGCCAGCCCCCTTTGGAGAGTGATTTCTCCCTTTCTGTCTCTTTGGTGAGTTCATGTGCCCTATAGCCAAAATCTCTTTCTAAAAAAAAGTTAATAAGTATAGGACCTGCAGATGGCATAATGGTTACATCACTTGTTACAACTCCCATGTAGTGGAACATGGTTCAAATCCTAGACTCAGTGGCTTAAAATTCACACCAGACATGTGTGCATATATGCCCAATATCCTAAGAGGAGAATGGAGAAGGAATTATGTTGGGGCCATCCCCCCAGGGGGTGCTTACTCACTTTCTGTCTCTTTCCTGCAAGCCTACACACCCTATGGCAAAAATCTCTTAAAAAAAATATAAATAAGTAAATGGCACAAGACAATACCATGGGGAAAAGAAAATCTCTTCAGCAAATGAGGCTAGAAAAACTGGATATCCAACCTGCAGGAAAATGAAACTGGACCCCTATCTTTCATCATTAATAAAAATCAACTCAAAATGGATCAAGGATCTAAACATAAAACCTTGAACTATGAAACTACTGGTGGAAAAAACAGAGAAAACTCTTGGCTACATTGGAATAGGCAAAGGCTTCTTAAAAATGACATCCAAAGCATAGGCAATCATCTCCAAAATAGACAACTGGGGCTACATCAGCCCAAAAAGCTTCACAGCAAAAAAAAAAAAAAATCAATAATTAGAGTGAGGAGACAACCCTCAGAATGGAGAATTTATTTGCAAAGTATGTGTAAGATACAAGATGGATAACCAGCACATACAGGAAACTCAAGCAGCTTACCTGCCAAAAAAATAATCAATCCAATTAAAAGATAGGCAAGTGAGCTGAACACACAACTAAGGAAGACAAACTGAAGACCAAAAAGCATATGAAAAAAATGCTCAACATCTTTTTTTTTTGGAGAGGTTTTTTCGCTATAGGGTGCATGCGCTCGTCCGACAGACAGACAGAGACAGAGAGACAGAAAGCGAGAAATCACCCCCTGGGGGGATGGCCACACTGCAATCCTTTCTCCTCCATTCTCCTCTCGGGATCTTGGGCACGCACTCACACGTGCCCGGCATGAGGTTTAAGACACGGGGTCCGGGACGGGAACTGCAGTCGACTACGTGGGAGTCCAGCGACATAGCCATTATGCTAACTGCTGGTCCCATGCTCAACATCTTTTATCATAAAGGAAAAGCAAATCAAAACCACAATGAGATATCACTTAACCCCAATCAGAATGGCTAAGAAGAATAAAATAAAGAACAAGTGCTGGTGAGGCTGCAGTGAAAAGGGAACTCATCCTAGAATGTTGTTGGGAATGTAAAATAGTACAACCACTGTGGAGAACAATATGGGCATCCCTCAGAAACCTACTAAGAGGGGACCAGCAGGTGGCATGGTGGTTAAGGCCTGAAGTCCCACATGGCCAATTGCACTTTAAGTCTTACATCTGGTGGTTTTCTTTCTCACTTTCTCTCTCTCTCTCTCTGGTGAGCACATATGCACTATCACAAATTTTAAGAAGAAGAAAATAAATTAATTAATTAAAATAAAAACACATGTACTCTACAGAATACTACTGAGCTATAAAAAACAATGAGACCCTGACATCTGATACAAAGTGGATGAATATGGAAGATTTACTGCTAAGCGAAGCAAGTCAGACTATGAAAGACAGGCATTGTATGTTCCCACTCAATATATACCAAATGTCGGTGCTCTATAGCAGAAACTGAGACTGTAAGGTAATATAATAGCAGGGAGAGCAACTATAAATACTAGAGACAGAATAGGAGGGAGTGGGTAATAGAGGGTGGGTAATAGGGGGTGGGAAGGAGGAGATCAGGGAAAAACAAAACAACACGTTCAATAGACACAAAAATGAAAAGTTATCTGCTGATGATAAGGTATATGGTAATGTCTTTGACTTGACTAAGATGCACTGTATCACACTGAGAAAACTCACATTGTACACTGTAAAGATATACAGTGATTAAATGTAAATAAAACAATTTTAAAAAATAGGTTAGAAAAACAATTAGGTCATAATAAAGGCTGATCTTTCTTTTCCTAAAATTCCAAGCCTGTTCAAATACTATCAAAAATTTTAAAAAGAAAAGAAACAATTTTCATGTTTGGAATGTAAGAAAAAAATTAGAATTTCCTTCATTTAAAAAAATATACAGAAAAAAATATATATATATGCGGGACCAACAGTTGGTGTAATAGCTATGGACTCCCATGTAGTCGACTGCAGTTCGAGTCCCAAACCTAGTGGCTTAAACTCATGCCAGGTGTGTATGCATGCGTGCCCAAGATCCCGAGAGGAGAATGGGGGAGAAGGGACTGCGGTGTAGCAATCCCCTCTGGGGGGTGATTTCTTGCTTTCTGTCTCTCTGTCTCTGTCTTTCTGGCGAGCAAACGTGCCCTATAGCAAAAACCTTTCCACAAAAAATACAGAGGGCAGCCAGCCTCAAAGTACATTGGTTAAACAGCGTGAAAAGGAAGCGAGATTCGACTTGGCTGTAGTTCGAATCCTGAGTCCGATGGCTTGAAAAACATACAGGGTACATTCGTGCATGTTCACGACCCTGATCAGAGGGAGAAATGAAGGGGAAAAAGGAGGGCAGCATGACCAGGTCCCATAAGGGGTGCTTTCTCTCCCCCCACCTCTCTCTCATGCATGCACAGGTGCTCTGTGGCATTACAAAAATAAAAATATGGGGGACCAGCAGTTAGCGTAATGGTTATGTCGCTGGACTCCCACGTAGTCGACCGCGGTTTGCGTCCGAGACCCGGTGGCTTAAAACTCACGCCGGGTGCGTGTGCGTGCGTGCCCAAGATCCCAAGAGGAGAATGGAGGAGAAGGGATTGTGGCGTGGCCATTCCCCCTGGGAGGTGATTTCTCGCTTTCTGTCTCTGTCTCTCTCTGTGTGTCTGGCGAGCGCATGCGCCCTATAGCAAAAACCTCTCTCAAAAAAAAAGGAACCAGCAGGTGGCGTGGAGGATAAGGCAGCTGGATCCCACACAGTCAACTGCACAGTTCTAATCCTGATCCAGTGGCTTGAAAAACAGGCTGGCCATGTATGCATGTGTGCCTAAAATCCGGAGAGGAGAATGGAGAAGGGATTGAGGTCTAGCCATCTCTGCTGGGGTGGCAGTGATTTCCACTTTCCCTCTCTCTTTAACTCTATGTCTCTCTCTGGAGAGTGTACATGTCCAATAGCAAAACATAAGCAAATACAAAACAATACAGTATGAAAGAATCTGGACAGTGGCATAGCAGTAAAATGGAAGGTTCTGCAATCATGACCCATATGGGAGGGCTCCAGGTTTGTGTCCAGAGACCTTCCTGAGTGTGCTAGGCATGTGCACTGTCCCTGACCTGGGGCTGGCTGAGGGTGTGGGTGAGCTGAGGCATCATGACCTGTTTAGGTGGATACTACCTATCACAAAGAAGAAATAAATAAACTTAAAGAAATATATGATGACACATTCAACCTTATTAACACATTAAGAAGTATAGCTTTTTACAGTTATAAGTGAAAGAAAAATTTTAACGTCAAAACTCAACAGTGTACAATTTTTAGGTACAATGCTAATATTTCTGTAGATGAAGAAAGTATTTTGGGGGGCCAGCAGATGGTGTAGCAGTTACATCTCTGGACTCCCACATGGCTGACCATGGTTTGAGTCCTAAATCTGATGGCTTCAAACTCATGCGGGGTGCGTGTACATGTATGTCCAAGATCCCAAATAGAGAATGGACTGTGGCATGGCTTTCACCCCGGGGGGTGATTTCTTGCTTTCTGTCTCTGTCTCTCCAGTGAGTGCATGCGCCGTATAGCAAAAAATCTCTCCCAAATAAAAACAAAAACAAAAACATTATTTTGGTAATCTGACAAATACCTCTCAATGGTCAAAAGTGATCATATTCTTTGACTCAGTAACCTTATTCTTCAGAATTGATCCCAAGAAAATAAATCTAAAGATTAACAGGGTCAGGGCCAGCAGGTGGGATGGTGGCTAAGGGCACTGGACTCCCACATGGCCAACCATGGTTGGAGTCCCGGACCTGATGGCATGCTTTCTCACTTTCCTTCTCCCTTTCTCTCTCACTCTGTCCCTCTCTGGTCAAATTGAAATAAACACATAAAGTTAAAATAATAATTCTTAAAAAAAAAAAAAAAAAAAGATTAACAGGGTCAGGCTGTAGCCTGGCGGTTGGAATAGCTGGATCTCTCATGGCCAACTACGTGTGGTTTGAGTCCTGGACATGGCAGCCTGAGAAACATGCTGGATGCAGATGCATGCATGCACACCCAAAATCCCGAGAAGAGGATGGAGAATGGACTGTGGCATGGCCATTCCCCTGGTGGGGGGAGTAGGGGCTGTCCCACGTCCCCTCTCTCTGTCTGGTGAGTTCATGCACCCTATAGCAAAATTTAAAAAAAAAGAAAAGGAGAGAAAGATGGAGGAGAAAGGACCCGCAGCACGACTATTCCCCATGGGGGATGCTTTCCTGCTTTCTTTTTCTTTCTGTCCCACTCTCTGATGAGTACAAGCACCCTCTGGAAAATAAAGAAAACTTATAAAAGTAAAAAAAAATTTAATAAAGATATGCCAACAAAGGTGATCATTTGTAATATTTGTAAGTTGAGAAGAGTCAAAATATCTAATAATGGGGAAATAGATAAGCATATTACAGTAAATCAAGTTACTAGATTATTTTTCTCATTTTTTAAAATAATTATTTTATTTAATTTTATTCATTGTCATTATTTTATCTTTTTGAAGTTGACTAGAGAGAGACAGAGAGAGAGAAGGAAAGTGAAGAAGCAAGTCAGGCTGCCAGGTCCAGGATTTGACCCAGTCAGCTATGTGGGAAATCCAGCCACCTTAATCACCATACCACCTGCTGGCCCCACTAGATTATGTTTAGCCAAGAAAAAGTATAAAGAATATAAAGTGAGGACCAGCAGTTAGCTTAACGGCTATGTTGCTGGACTCCCACATAGCTGACCGTGGTTCGCGTCCCGGACCCAGTGGCTTAAACTCACACCGGGCGCATGTGCTTGTGTGCCCAAGATCCCAAGAGGAGAATGGAGGAGAAGGGATTGTGGCATGGCCATCCCCCCTGGGGGGTGATTTCTCGCTTTCTGTCTCTCTGTCTCTCTCTGTCTTTTTGGCGAGCGCACATGTCCTATAGCGAAAACCTCTCCAAAAATATATATATACATATACACACACATATAAGTGACACAGAAACTAAAATGCTAATTGAAAAAATGGAAAAGCATAAAATTATTCACACTCTGTGACTGCTACTTTATAATGCCAGTCAATCTGTCTGTATAGAACAAAAGCAACTATAAACTAAGGTAGAAACAAATTAAAACATTTGCATACATGGGAAGTAATGAGTTTATATAATTTTTCCACTTTTTTCTTTTATAATTTTTGCTATAGGGCCTGTGTGCTCACCAGATAGACAGAAAGAGACAGAAAGCAAGAAATCACCACCTAGGAGGGAAATGCCATGCCACAATACATTCTCCTCCATTTTCCTCTTGGGATTTTGGGCATGCAAGCACACGCTCCGGGGTGAGTTTTAAGCTGCTGGGTCTGGGACTTGAACTGTTGTTCACTACATGAGAAACCAGTGATGTAACCATTACACCATCTGTTTGTCCCTCATTTTTCTCTTAAAAATGTTCATAATAGGATGTCACCATGCCACAATCCTTCCTCCCTCTCTAGTCATTCAATTAGCCAGGATGGCAGTGCAGTCAGCATGTTCAGGATGACCTTAAATCTGAACTTCAGGCCTTTCCATAGGTTGTAGCTTTGCATAGAGTTGCCTAATACCTGCCCTACTGTGTCTGGGCGCTCAACTATTTTTTGTTATTTGTTTTTCAAAGCAGAAACATTTACAAAAGAGTTACCAAAAAAACCACCAAAGAGTTCCTGTATACCCTTCTACCTAGCTTTCCTTAATATTATTATCTTATCTTACAAAACCAAAGAACAAGTATCGACACTAAGAAATTAATATTTGAGCTACCCTATGTCTTAGTTAAGGGAATTGGATCCTAAGTGGTCAACTATGGTTTAAATACCAGCACCAGTGTCTTGAAAAACATGTTAGGTGCATATACACACATTCCCAAAATCCCAACAGGATTGAAAAGCAGAGGAGAGTGGATTTTACTCCTTAGCTTTAGTCTAATGTTATCATTATTATTTGCTTTGTTGTTCAATGTTAATGTGTTTTTTCTTTTCTTTTTTGGGTAAAGGATTTTGCTATAGGTGCATGCGCTTGCCAGAAAGACAGAGAGAAACAGAGACAGAAAGCAAGGAATCACCCCCCAGGGGGTATGGTCACACCACAATCCCTTCTCCTCCATTCTCCTCTTGGGATTTTGGGCACGCACACACACACATCTGGTGTGAGTTTAAGCCACTGGGTCCAGGACTCAAACTGTGGTTGACTACATGGGAGTCCAGCGACATAGCCATTACGCCAACTACTGGTTCCTTTTTCTTTCTTTCTTTTTTTTTTTTTTTTAAAGATTTTTGCCATAGGTTGTATGAGCTTGCCAGAGAGAGACAGAAAGAGAGGGAAAAGTGAGAAATCGCTCCCCTTGGGAGGAAGGACACACCACAATCTCTTCTCCTCTGTTCTTCTCTTCGGATTTTGGGCATGTACCCTCTCATACTGGTGTGACTCTCAAGTTGCTGAGTCCAGGCCTTGAACCTTGGTTGACCATGTGGGAATCCAGCATCTTAACCACCACACCCTGCCGGCCCCCATTATGTAGTTTTAATAATAACTTTCGTAGAAACAACAAAAGGTACCATTCACCACACTGATCCAATAAGAAGACTGCTATCTACCTGACAGGAGTTTCTTTAGCAGTTTCTGGCTCTTGTTTGAGTCGCGCTGTAAAATATCCTGTTCTTCAGGAGTACATACCTATAAAGGAACAAGAGAGGCAGTGAGACACATGATCCAGTAGTTAAGTATTGATACGCTGCTTGATATACCTAAAAAGCAACTGCAAGTTACTTATTAGGTAAAACAATGAGGCAATGAGAATATTAGTGCTTTTTTATCAACACAAATACATCCAAATAAGTTTTGCCCTAGCTCTCTCTTCATTTCTCCCATCTCTTATGAGACATAGTGGGAAAAGAAAGAAAAAAAAGGCCCAATCTTAACTGCAAGTATCCTTGAAAGAGTTGATGGTTTGAAAAACATTTAACCTACTTTCAAAGGACAAGTATGTACCACTGCTGAGAATATTGGAAAAGACATGGAAGGTTTTTTTGCTTGTTTGTTTTAGGTTTTTAACCACAGGATGCATGCACTCTCCAAAACTAAGAAAGAGAAAATGAGAAACCACCCTTTGGAAGGACGGCCACACTGCAATTCCTTTCCCTCCATTCTCCTCTCTGGACTTTAGGCATGCACGCACAAGTGCCTGGTATAATTTTCAAGCTTCTGGTGCAGGACTAGAACTGTGGAGTCAGCTATGTGGGATCCAGTACTTTAACCACCACGCCACCTTATAGCTCCAACATGTAAGACTTTTTAAAAGGAATTTGGTTAGACAGGGTCTTGCTATGTCACAATCCTTGTGCTTCAGTCTCTGGAGTAGCTGGGACTACAGGCAATGTACGATAGTGCCAGTCTTTCTTTTGCCATGGGGCACGTGTGCTCACCAGAGAGAGAAAGAAAGAGAGGGAAAGTGGGAAATCACTGCCCCCCCCACCCAGGTAGATAGCCATACCACAATCCTTTCTCCTCCATTCTCCTCTCTAGATTTAGGGCATGCATACACATGACCTACATGTTTTGTTCAAGCTGCCAGGTCTGGGAGTCAAACATGCGGGATCCAGCACTTTAACTACCATGCCATCTGCTGGCCCTGTATCCTTTTCATTTTTTTAAGGTTTTGGCCATAAGGCGGATGAGGTTGTCAGAGAGAGACAGTGAGAAAGAGAGAGAGAAATCACTCCCCCGGGGGGATGGCCTTGGAGGAATCTCTTTTGCTCCATTCTTCTGGGATTTGGGGCACACATGAAGCACATGTGACTGGCATGATTTTTAAGCCACCAGGTGTGGGACCTGAACTGTGACTGGCTATGTGGGAGTGCAATGCCTTCACTACTCCACCACCTCTGGACCCAGAGCCCCTCTTTTTAAGGTAGGTTGGGAATTGAACTGGACCTCCCATGTGATCTCACCCTGCTGAAAAATAGCAGCATCAAATAGTGTACACTACCGTGGCGGGGCTAAGCCTTTCTAGAAAGAGCCTTCCAATTCTAATCATGAAGCCTGATTCTTAACAAATAAAAAGTTTAAGCCAATGTTTCATTAGAAAGAACCAGAAAAAGCGTATTATAGATTATAAACAGGCCTCCAGTGAAATTTAGTTCAGCTTTAAAAAAAACAAACAAAACTTTGCTATTCAAAAAAAAAAAAAAATGCTAGAGGGTGCATGAACTTGAAGGAAAGAGATGGATAGAGAGCAGGAAAATGAGAAAGCACCCCCACGGGGGATGGTCATGCCACAATTCCTTCTCCATTCTCCTCTTAGGATTTTGGACATGCACACACATTACACCAGGCATAATTTTCAAGTTGCCAGGACCAAAACTCAAACTGCGGTCATACGTGTGGGAGTCCAGCAATTTAACTACCACACCACCGGCTAGCCCTAGCCTGCCTTTTATACTATATTTATTTAGTTTTTTTGCCTTCAGATATTATCTTCTCATAAAATAATGTATATACAAAGAAAAGGGTCTGTTTATTATAAAATCACTGTAATTGTATGAAGGGAGGTTTAGAAGATTATATTGTGCTTATAATCTTCAAGGCCAATCTGGTTTACATTATTCTATTTCTCAAACTAAAGGAACCGAAGGTTCTTAAAAAAATAATAAATAAAAAGAGGGACCAGCAGTTAGCGTAATGGCTATGTCGCTGGACTCCCATGTAGTTGACTGCGGTTCGCGTCCCAGACCCAGTGGCTTAAAACTCACACTGGGCGCGTGTGCGTGCATGCCCAAGATCTCAAGAGGAGAACGGAGGAGAAGAGATTGCGGCGTGGCTATCCCCTCTGGGGGGTGATTTCTCGCTTTCTATCTCTCTGTCTCTATCTGGCGAGCGCACGTACCCTATAGCAAAAACCTCTCAAAAAAAAAAAAAAGAATTACTTTATTTAACTTTATTTATTATTATTATTATTTTCTGATTTGATTGGAGAGAGACAGAGAAAGCGAGACAGAGAAATTGAGAAAGTAAGCCACCAGGTCCAGGACTTGAACTGTGGACGGCCATGAGAGTCTAGTGCCTTTAACCAACACACCACATGCCAGCCCCAAGAACTACTATTCTTAGCAGTTGCCTCAGTGGCATACTGAGTTCCTGTCAGCAGCTATGCGGTGTTTCTCTAGAGAATGCCGTAGATGGGAGGAAATTTACTGCCATTTTATGAACATTTTTATCAGTACACACTATATTTTTGGGGTCACCCACTGTCTATCAGCCTATTTTCTGAGTATATGGAAAAATTAAGGGTCCCATCTCAGCAGAGCAGACAATAAAGAAATATTAAGATGGGTGTCTTTACCAACATAAAGCTTGTTCGCATTTTTGTGGTCATTACTGCTACTCTGTTGAGGTTATCCTTGGACAAAGCAGAGCTAAAGCAAAGCAGTATCCTAGAAACAGAAGCTCTAATGACCCAAGGGCTAAGTTACAGCAGCTGTGTTCTTATAGGGATATGAGCCATGTTGGAAGTCTGGAACAAAAATTTTAACATTTCAGGCCCTAAAGTTTTCTTGAAGTGACTCTGACACATGACCTGGATCCCTGAACAATGTGTGTTCTCAGTACTCTTCTCATTAACAGGCCTTGGTACCAGAATATAACTTTGAGTTTTTGACTAATTAAATCGCTGTGTCTAGAGTTCACAGGGCATCTTAGGAAAGAAACTTACTAAGAAGAAATCAGGAAGGACCTGAATGGCCCTGTGTATTAACACAAAACACAGTATGAAAAAATAAATAAATAAATATTTAATTTACCAGAGAGCCACAGAATAAGCAGGGGCCAGAACCCTCTTGTTCACAGACAATCCGCCCACAGATCAGACAGTTATTGATGAGCTTGTGCTTCTGACCCAGGCAATCACAAGGGTGGCGACCAGGAAGCAGGACCGCAAGCCTGTCCTGCCCCTCTCTTGTGTATAAACTGACAAACTTTGTCTTCTTCTTTACGGAGTTGCTGTTCTCCTGTGCCTAATTGTACAAAGGTATCAGAATAACATCAAGTGATTAATGACAATAAAAACAGTCTAGAGAAAAAGACTTTATTCTCTTTGATAACTTATATACTATCTAAGAACCAGGAAAGGAGGAAGGGAGAGAGGGAGAAATATAAATTATTTATAATCAAGGTTTGGGAAAGATTATTCTCTTAAAATAAAACTAGCTCATAATTACCTTACCTTTTCTGCTAGTAGCTTTCAGCCCATACTACAGCTGGTGGAAGGTAAACACAGCAGTCAAATGTTGTTTATATGACACCTTTTTTTTCCCCGTTTTTGATCATCTTTGCTCATTTTATTGCCATTGATAACAAAAGAGAGAGACAATGGAAGCTTTTAATCTCTATAACTTAACATTATTTTGCAAACACTTTTCCATATATTCTGCATGGTGATCACACAGAATTTTTTTTTTTTTTTTTTTGGAGAGGTTTTTGCTATAGGGCATGTGCACTCGCCTGACAGAGAGAGACAGAGAGACAGAAAGCGAGAAATCACCCCCCAGGGGGGATGGCCATGCTGCAATCCCTTCTCCTCGCGTCTCCTCTCGGGATCTTGGACACGCACGCACACACGCCCAGAGTGAGTTTTAAGCCACCGGGTCCGGGACACGAACCGCGGTCGACTATGTGGGAGTCCAGCAACATAGCCATTATGCTAACTGCTGGTCCCCACACTGAATTTTTTGGTCATACTCTTCCATCTTAGCCTAATGATTTCTTTGTTTTGAGAAATCTAGCTTGCTAAATTACCCTGATTATAAATATTTCTTCTTACTCAAAAGGTGAGAGCCAAAAAAGAGATTGCAGAAAAGCTCTGCTAGTTGAATGATGATGACGGTAGTGGTAGAGGAGGGGGCTCAAAATAGGTACATACTTAATAACAGCTAGACTTGTGAATTCCTTTACACATGCCCACAAAAAACTGGAAATTGAAGCCCAGAGCACTGTATTAAATATTTCCTCTATATACGAAATCATGTGTGCTAGGATTCAAACAAAGAAGTTGAGTCCTGAACCTGGGGGTTTGCTTTCTTTCTTTCCCTCTCTGCCTCTCTCTGGTGAGTGTACATGCCCTGTAGAAAATTTTTAAAATGATCACAATAATAAATTAAATAAATAATTCTAAAGGAAGGGAGAGAGAAAATAAAAATTGCCATTCTAAACCAATTTGTACACTTTGCTATCTGAAATGTATTAGGTTATTTTCTTTTCTATAAATAGCTGGAAAAAGCTTCATTCTATAAGCACTCACCTTGGCCAAATCAAAAGGTGTTTTAACGACCTCTACAGTTGTGTCAAGTTCAGGAAATGCAGGAACTTCCTGTTTGTTTCTTCCTTTTCGCCTACTCCGCTTTAGATGGTCTCCCGATCTCTGCCCATCTAAAATTTCTTTAGAGAATAAAATGTATATATATATATGTATACACACACATATTACTCCTACACACATGCAGAGATTGATCATAGCATATTTCATTGGCGAACATCTGTAGCTAATAGGTAAAAATCAATGCTTAATATTTAGAGTAAAAATACCAAGTCAGACAAAATTTTTTTTTTTTTGAGAGAGATTTTTGCTATAGGGTGCATGTACTCTCCAGAGATACAGAGAGAAAGCGAGAAACTACCCCCCAGGGGGCATGGCCACACTGTAATCCCCTCTCCTCAACCCTCCTCTTAGAATCCTGAGCATGCACGCACACACACCAGCATGAGTTTAAGTCATCGGGTCTGGGACTAGAACCATGGTCAACTACGGGAGGGTCCAGCAACATAACCATTACGCCATCTGCTGGTTCCATGTCAAACAAATTTTTAAATATCATTTCTTCTCAAATCAGCATTAAATTTAAACCATCATTTTCAAGACTGTAGTTAATAATAAACAACTCACATAAATACTACTGGCTGGGATTAAGAAGTTAAATTAAAATTTGTTATTTTAGATTATATCATATCAATGACTCAGATTATTTAGTTTAGTGCTCTTTTTTCCTTTTAAATGGAGTTGCCCATCTTGTGTACTGTTTAAATAGTTACCTCTAACTGCTATTCATTCATACTGTAATTGGTAAACATGTTACATTCATGCAAGTAAGTACATGAATAAAAAATGCTTCTTTTTAAAAAAAATTTTTGCCATGGGACCAGCAGTTGGCATAATGGCTATGTCACTAAACTCCCATGTAGTTGACCACAGTTCGAGTCCTGGACCTGGTGGATTAAACTCACACCGGGTGCATCTGAGTGCATGCCCAAGATCCTGAGAGGAGAAGGGATTGTGGTGTGGCCATCCCCCCTGGGGGGTGACTTCTTGCTTTCTGTCTCTCTGTCTCTCTGGTGCGTCCATGTGCCCTATAGCAAAAACCTCTCCAAAAAAAAAAATAAAAAATTACCATATGGCCATGTACACTCGACAGAGAGAGAGAGAAAGTGAGAGAGCAACCCCCCCCGCCCTGAGAGATGGCCATGCTGTAATCCCTTCTCTTCCATTCTCCTCTTGGGATTTTGGGCACGTATGCACATGCGACAGGCATGTTTTTCAAGTCACCAGTTCTGGGACTTGAACCATGTAGTCAGCTGTGTCCCAACTAAATAAAAACAGATCAATAAAAACAATTCACCGAGAACCAGCAGTTAACGTAATGACTATGTTGCTGGACTCCCACGTAGTCGACTGCAGTTCGCATCCCGGACCCGGTGGCTTAAAACTCATGCCGGGCACGTGTGCACGTGTGCCCAAGATCCCAAGAGGAGAAGGGACTGCGGAGTGACCACCCCCCCGGGGGGGGGGGGATTTCTTGCTTTCTGTCTCTCTGTCTCTGTCTGTCTGGCGAGTGCACGTGCCCTATAGCGAAAACCTCTCCAAAAAAAAGAAAAAGAAAAAAAAAACAATTCACTAATCTGAGTGTTTACTTTGATCCAAGTACTATGCTAAGTTGCTAGGGACATAAATTTGATTCAGACAAAAATTCTAATCTCAAGTGGTTTGTAATCTAACCTTCATATTTATTTAGCCATTTACTCTTTCTCTGATTCAGTTGCCGTTACCACCACACCACTGGCAAGTCAAAGAATGCTTCTTTAATCCAGGGGAATTTTCAAATTATCTAAAGCCACATTTGTGCCTATGGTAAGTAATTTTCTGATATTTTCTACTTTGAAAAAGCCTGAACAAGAACAATATTCATTAAAGACTGAGTAGCACTGAATTAAAAATATGTCCATGGATGGTTTTGCTGTGAAGAAATGCAGGGTGGCAGAAAATACCCCTGCTTACTTAGCAGCAGTCTTTCAACCTTTACTTATGTGAACTTACCATCTTTTTTGAGGCACTGCTGCAAAGGTTCAGAAATCAGCTCCTGATCATTCTTTTGCCATTTGGTTATAAGCTCTTCGATGAATTGACCTTTTTTGTCCTCATTTCCTTGGAGGAGGTCAGTAACATATTCCCGTATTTCTTCAGCACTCTCAATTGACAAAACATACCTCGGGAGACAAAGACAGAAGTTGTTGAAACAAGGGTGGATTACACAATATTGTTCAATAATTGTAAGAGATCAAGGTAGTAAAAACAACTCACTGATCTGAGTGTTTACTTTGGGCCAAGTATTAGGCTAGAATGCTAGGGATATACATTTGATTAGGACAAAAACTCTGATCTCAAGTAGTTCATAATCGAATCATGGTATGTACCCAGCCATTTACTACTACTCTGTATTTCTAGAATCAAATTAATGTTGTGTAGAGCTGTTAGGCTTTTTTTTTTTTATTTTTTTAAGGCTTTTGCTATATGATGTGTGCACTCGCTAGAGAGAGACAGTGAAAAGGAAGGTGAGAAATCATTCCCCTGGGGTATGCCTACGCTGCAATCCCCAATTCCTTCTCCATTCTCCTCCTGGGATTTCAGGCATGCATACACATGTGTCCAGTGTGTTTCAGGCCTCTAGGACCAAGACTCGAACTGCAGTCAGTCATGTGGGAGTCCAGTGCCTTAACCACTAGGCCACCTGATGTCCCAGGCCAGGCTATCCTTAACACAGAAATACTACCTCTACCTACACATCTGCAGGCATTCTATTTTCCTGGAAACGATACAAATTACTTACTGCAAAATCTAAACTTTCCTTTATTTTTTTCTAAAGATGAATACACTTTATTTTTTAGAGACAGGGTCTGTGTTGTCCAGGCTGGCTTCAAACTCATAATCCTCCTGCCTCAGCCTCCAAGTGGCTAGGATTATCAGGCACAGTGCTTAGCTTCCTAACCAGTTATTGATTCAACATTTTTAAATATCATAAATTAGGGCCAGCAGGTGGCATGGTGGTTAAGGAGGTGGATTATCACACAGTTGATCATGGTTTGAGTCCCAAATCGGGTAGCTTGAAAAGATCAATGGACAAATAAATAAACATTTTAAAAAATCATAAATTAACATTAATATCACATCAGAATTAGTAGGTAAAGATATAAAGACATATGCATATATGTGTGTGTGTATATATGTATTTTTTTTTCCTTTTTAGGTTTTTGCTATAGGGCACATGTGCTCAGTGGAGAGAGAGAGAGAGAGAAGGAAAGTGAGAAATCACTGGCCCCCCCCCAACCCCCAGGGATGGCCTTGCTACATTCTGCTCTATTCTTTTTTTTATTTTTTTCCTTTTTTTTGGAGAGGTTTTTGCTATAGGGTGTGTGTGCTCACCAGACAGACAGAGACAGAGAGACAGAAAGCGAGAAATCACTCCCCGGGGGGGATGACCACACCACAATCACTTTTCCTCCATTCTCTTCTCGGGATCCTGGGCATGTATGCACATGAGCCCGGCATACCGCGGTCGACAACGTGGGAGTCCAGCGACATAGCCATTACGCTAACTGCTGGTCCCAATATTCTTCTCTATTCTCCTCTTGGGATTTTGGGCATATGCATGCACCCAGAGTGATATTCAAGCCACCAAGTCCAGGACTCGATCCAAAAGCCTCAACCTACATGCCACCTGCTGGCTCTCTCTATATTTTTAAATTTGCTGTAGGGTACATGAGCTCACTGGAGAGAGAAAGGGAGAAAAGGAAAGTGAGAAAGCACCTTCCAGGGGAGACACTACATCACAGTCTCTTCTCTTTCATTCTCTCTTGGAAATTTGGACATGCAAGTACATGTCACTGGCATGTTTTTTCCAGCCACCAGGTTGGAGATTTGAACCACTCAGCTTTGTGGGATCCAGATATCCCAACCATCATGCCACCAGCTGGCCTGGCATTTTAAAGAAATGTTATAATTCTCTATATAAGACTGTATATGAAGTAGACAGAAAAACTTATGCAAAAGAGTTCATTGCTGAGGGCTGGCAGGTGGTATGGTGTTTAACGGCACTGGACTTCCACCTGGCCGACTGTGGTTCGAGTCCCAAACCTCGCGGTTTGCTTTCTCACTTTCCCCCTCTCTCTCTCACTCTGTCCTTCTCTGCTCAAATTAAAATAAATAAAGTTAAATAAAATAATTCATTTTTTTAAAAAAGTTAATTGTTGGTGGGGGGGGAAACTAACTGCATCATTACCTGAACTAGTAAAAAGTTAGAAACTATGGGCCAGCCAGTGACATGGTGGTTAAGGCAACTGGATCCCACATGGCCAATTGCCCAATTGGAGTCCTTGGACCCAGTGGTTTGAAAAACACAATATATGTGTGTGCATGTATGCCTAAAATTCCCAGAGGAAAATGGAGAGGGGACTGCAGTATAGCCCCAGAGGTTACTTTCTCACTGTCTCTTCTCTCCTCACCAGGGAGTACATGCATCCTACTGTACTATTTTTTTTTTTTGGAGAGTTTTTTTTTTTTCCGCTATAGAGCGTGTGTGCTCGCCAGACAGACAGAGAGAGAGACATAGAGACAGAAAGCAAGAAATCACTCCCCAGGGGGGATGGTCACGCTGCAATCCCTTCTCCTCCATTCTCCTCTTGGGATCTTGGGCACGCACGCACACGCACCTGGCGTGAGTTTTAAGCCACCGGGTCCGGGACGCGAACCACGGTTGACTACGTGGGAGTCCAGCAACATAGCCATCACGCTAACTGCTGGTTCCCCTACTGCACTATTTTTTTAAACTGGAAATTAATTGAAATATTCATTGGTAAGAGTTAGAATAATCCCAGTTTTTAAAAAAAAATGTTTAACTTTATTCACTCATTCATTTATTTTATTTATTTATTTTTTTTGGAGAGGTTTTTGCTATAGGGTGCGTGCACTCGCCAGACAGACAGAGAGAGACAGAGAGACAGAAAGTGAGAAATCACCCCCCGGGGGGATGGCCACGCCGCAATCCCTTCTCCTCCATTCTCCTCTCGGGATCTTGGGCACGCACGCACACGCACCTGGCGTGAGTTTGAAGCCACCGGGTCCGGGACGCGAACCACGGTTGACTACGTGGGAGTCTAGCGACATAGCCATTACGTTAACTGCTGGTCCCCACTCATTCATGTATTTTAATTTGACACAGAGAGGAAGAGAAGGAAAGTGAAAAAGCAAGTAACCATGTCAGGGACTCAAACCATCGTCAGCCATGTGGGAGGGTCCAGTGCCTTAACCACCACACCACCAGCTGGTCCCAACCAAAGTTTTTTTATTTCATAAAACATAATGGGGGAGCCAGCAGTTAGCATAGCAGCTATGTTGCTGGACTCCATGTAGTCGACTGTGGTTCAAGTTCCGGACTCAGTGGCTTAAACTCATACCGGCACGTATGCGTGTGTGCCTAAAAGAGGAAAATGGAGAAGGGACTGCGGCATGACTCCCCCCCCCACGGGGGGGACCTTCTCATTTTCTGTCTCTCTGTCTATGTCTTTCTGGTAAGTGCACGTGCCCTGTAGCAAAACTCTCCAAAAAACAAACAAACAAAAAAATACAAACATAAAGAGGGCTGGCAGGTGGCATGGTAGTTAGAGGCACTGATTCCCACATGGCCGACCACAGTTCAAATCCTGGACCTGGCAGTTTGGGTTCTTGCTTTCCCTTTCTCTCTCTCTCTCTGGTTAAATTAAAAATAAATAAATAAATAACAAATGGAATTAAATAAATAAATATTTTTAAAAATGACAGCTTTAGAAGTGAAAACTCTGAATAGTTATTATTAACCTAAGAAAAATGCCTTTTTTTTTTTTTTTTTTTGCTGTAGGGCGTATGTACTCACCAGAGAAACAGAGACAGAAGGCAAAATATCACCCTTGGGGGGTGGACACACTGCTCTCCCTTCTCCTCCATTTTCCTCTAGGGATTTTGGGCACACATGACCCGGCATGAATTTTAAGCTACCGAGTCTGGGACTCGAACTGTGGTTGACTACGTGGAAGTCCAGCAATGTAACCATTATGCCATCTGCAGGTCCCAAAATCCTCCCTTTTTAATAAATTATTATTGTCAGAGGCTACTTATGCTCACCAGAGTGAGACAGAGAGGGGGAGAAGGTGCCCCTATGGGGCACTGTCATGGTCATGCTACAATCCCTTCTAACTTTCTCCATCTGGTTGGGATTCTGGCCCACATGAAGATGCACCTGATGTGTTTTTCAAGCTGTTAGGACAAGGACTCCAAACAATGCAATAAACCATGTAAGATCCAGCTCCTTTAACCACTATGCCAGGAGACTGGCCTCTAAAATGCTCTTATTATAATGGCAAACACATAGATTGAATAGTAAATTATTCCCACTGCTATAAAAGGAGTATATACATACATATACTTATGTGTAGAAAAAAGGATAGAGGATTATAACATCAAGATGATCACTACTGCGTGATAGGATTAAAGGCAGTTTTTATTTTTTTTTTCATTTTGTCTGCTACAATAAATATGTTTTGAAAGTGTTTATTATAGGGGCCATTAGGTGGTGTGGTGGTTCGGGCACTGGACTCCCACATGGCCAACCACGGTTTGGGTCACAGACCTGTGATCCAAATCATGCGGGGGTGGGGGGTGGGTAGGAGAGGTTGGCAGGTGGCTTGGTGGTTAAGGGCACTGGACTCTCATGTAGCTGACCATGGTTTGAGTCTCGGACCTGGTGGCTTGCTTTTTCATTTTCCCTTTCTCTCTCTCTGGTAAAATTTAAAAAGAATAATAAATAAAATAAAATGAATAACTATTTAAAAACAAAAAAGAAAATCATGCTGGGCATGTATGCATGCATGCCTAAGATTCTAGGAGGAGGATGGAGGAGGAGGGTCTATGGCATGTCGGTCCCTGCAGGGTGTGATTTCTTACTATCTCTCTTTCTCTGTTTCCAGTGAATACATGCACCCTATGACAAAAACCTAAAAAAAAAAAAAAAATTAATATAACACACATAAGAGAAAACACTAATAATGGGACCAGCAGTTAGCATAATGGCTATGTTGCTGGACTCCCATGTAGCCAACCGCGGTTTGAATCCTGGGCCCGGTGCCTTAAACTCACGCCGGGCGCGTGTGCGTGCGTGCCCAAGATCCTGAGAGGAGAAGAGAGAAGGGATTGCAGCGTGGCCATCCCCCCTGGAGGGTGATTTCTCGCTTTCTCTCTGTCTGTCTCTGTCTGGCGAGCACACGCACCCTATAGCAAAAAAACTCTCTCAAAAAAAAAAAAAAAAAGAAAGAAAAAACACTAATAAGTGATTACCTCTGGGCTATGATATTATGGTAATTTTGGTTTCCTCCTTTATGCGTTTCTGATTCTAAAAGTTTTCTATAGTGAATGTCTTGCCATTAAATAAGAAATAAGTGATAAAATTATTTATAAGTTAAGATACAAATCTCGAAATATAAGACTGAAGAAATTGTAATTCAGATACAGTGAGATACAAATAATAATAATAATGATGATGATGGGGTCAGCAGGTGTAATGGTAGCTGGGGCACTGGACTCCGACATGGCCAACTGTGGTTCAGATCCGGGACCTGGTGGCTTGCTTTCTCTCTTTCTCTCTCTCACTCTACCCCTCTCTAGTAAAATTTAAAATAAATAAAACTAAAAAAAAATAATTATTAAAAAATAATAATGCCATGATAAAAAAAAAAAAAGAAAGAAAAGAAGCCACATTAACCGCCACACCACCAGCCCTGTGCTTTTTCTTTTTTTTTGCCCATTGGGCTTGTGTGTCCACTGGAGAGAGAGGGAAAGTGAGAAATCACCCACTAGAGATGGCCACATCACAATCCCTCCTCCTCCATTCTCCTCTTGAGATTTGGGCGTGCATATACATGCGCCTGGCTGATTTTTCAAGTCACCAGGTCTGGGGTTCAAGCTGCAGTGGTTCATCTAGTACCTTAACTACTACACCACCAACTGGCTCCACCCTGTGCTAAAATTCGGGTCACTCATAAAATTGTTTGAGTTATAGTACACCTGGATAATTCTCAATTAAACGCCAAGCAAGACATAACAAACACTTTCATCATGGCATAATAGCAAGTTGTGCAATAACCAGTGAATACTTAATAAGTAGTTTAAACAATATTATATCATGGGCAGCTTTAGTGTTTGTTTTAGTTCTGGACACTTTTTTAAAATAATTATTTATTCATTCATTTATTTTAATTTGACAGAGAAAGACACAGTGAGAAAGCAAGCCACCAGGTCGAGGACTTGAACCATGGTCAGCCATGTAGGAGTGCCTGGCGCCTTAACCACCATGCCACCTGCTGGCCCCAGTTCCAAACACTTTTTGACTAACATTTAGGATTTAAAAATGCAAGCAAATTACCAAATGTTTGGTAATGCTAATGTTTCAAACTTAAAATAGAAATTTTTTTTATCACTCAATCACTTGCAGCAAAAACCTGAGAACTGTAATCTAGGATTCTGAGTCAGTGAACAGAATAAAATTGCGGGACCAGCAGATGGCGTGATGGCGTAATGGCAACGTAGTGGACTGCAGTTGGAATCACGGACCCAATGGCTTAAATTCACGCTGGCGTGTGTGCGTGCGTGCTCAAGGTCCCGAAGGAGAAGGGATTGCGGCGTGGCCATCCCCTCCTGGGGGTGGGGGGTGATTTCTCGGTTTCTGTCTTTATATCGCTGGTGAGCGCATGTGGCCTATAGTAAAAACCTCTCAAAAAAAAAAAAAAAATTAAGGGACACTTTCATGTTCCTCCCATTTTTGTAGGCATTTCCCCCTCTGTCTGGTATTCTGCATCTCCACCTTGACCTATCCTTTAGTCCTCAGGTGAACGTCCTCCTTTCCAGTAAACGCTCCAAGTTTCTCAAATCTTAATGAGGATCCTTTATTCCACAACGCCTTTCACTTTTCCCACCTCAGCACTCATCGACAGAGCAGAACATTATGGTCTTGATAGTCTTTATTGCCCCAGCACCTGGCATGTAGTCATAGCAACAAATGTTAACCCACTGAAAGCAGTTATTAAATCGTGTTCACTATCTCCATTTTATACAAATCATAAAGCTTTAAAGATAAGCTTTGCTAAATACTCACTTAATAGATGAGGAAAGTGAGATACAGAGTGGGGAACTGAGTTGTCTAAGGTTCCAAAAGACCACAGAAAGTAAAAGCCCCCGCTCCCACCCAGCTAGGAGCTACGTGCGCTGTGTCACGCCGCCCCCACTGAAACCTCACGTCCTATCTGACACGACCCAGCCCCGGCAAACTAAAATGTTCACAGTAAGGAATTTCTGGAAAGACAACTCGGCTTGCCCCATCTCTCCAGCATCCCTTCTCTCACATGTCTTCTCTTCCATCAACTTTTTAGTCCTCCCCGCTTCCTCCCTGGATCCGAACCGGTCTTACTGAATGATCTCCTCGCTGACATCCAGGCCGAAAGTTTTCCTCAACTGCTGGGTACACCAGTGCACCAGCGCGTCCCCGGATGCCGCCCCAGCCACCGCCATTTTCCCCTGCCGGAACCAGCTGGGCTACAAAGGCCCCACGTCCTACACCGGACTCGTTCCCTTCGCAACACCAACTTCGCTCGCGCGAGTTCCGCCAGCCCGCGCCGCCCGGCTCGGCCGCCCCGCCCCCAGGACCGATCCCGCCCACCTGCGGCGCCGCGGTCTCGGTCCCACCTCTCGGTGTGTTTACCCGGTACCGAGCGCTGTCCGCGCGCGATCCACCTCGTGGTTAGATGGAGCGCTTGAGGAAGACCACGGGCAGTTCTGCTGGAGAGTGCGAATATGTACGTACTTACGGGAAAACCAAACCAAATAAACCCGGAAACTTGAGAGGCCAGCTTTTAAATTGTTCTGGTGTTATACACAACACTCAAAATAGCACTTGTAAGATATACTAAGCACTAAACGTTTTTGTTCTGGTGGTGATGGTTATTATTTATTAATACTCCCTGTAGTACACTAAATTCACACTGCTAAAATCTGTATTAATTTTTTTAGTCAAGTCTTTTCCAGGAAGCTTAAAGGGAGTTTGGACTTAGCTTGCACCTGAAATCTCAGCTAGGACAACTTGTTGGGGAAAATTTAGCCCAACTTTCCTGGAGAGTAATGTCTTATTTGTGGTGGCTTTTCAATACCTTTATAGGCTTAAAGTTCTTCCTTATTCTTAGGTTATTTAGACTAAGTGAGCATATTAAATAGTATGCTCTTTTACCTTTTTATGCTAATATTTTTATTGGCATAAATCATCAAAATCTGTGTATTAAGTTTAGATTGTCTTTGTTGTCACTAATTGGGAAAACATGATTTTGTAGGTTTTATATTTTTAGAAAATTTTATTTAGCTTTATTTACTTATTTTAATTTGACTAGAGAGGGACAGAGAGAGAGAGCGAGCAAGAAGGCTGTCAGATCCAGGACTTGAACTGCAGTTGACCATGTGGGAGTCCAGCACCCTTAATCATCAGGCCATCGGATTGCCCAATTTTGTAGCTTTAAAAAGAAACCAAAATATTGTCAATGCTTATATAATAGTGGGTATAGATTTCACTTCTTTATCAAAATGTGCTACATTTACTACTAATGATAATGCATCTCTGTTCAGTCCACATAACTAGACTTCTAGAAGACAGAGATAATCAAACTTAGATCATCATACATATTATGATGAAATGTCTAGGTTCTCAAGAGTAACATACACTGTTTATATTTACACAGCATTTAGATAAATGTTTGTAATCTTTAGTTTGTAACATATGTAATATCATACCATTTCTTTTTTTTAAGAATTAATTAATTTTATTCACTGTCATTATTTTTATTTTTTGAAGTTGGACAGAGAGAGAAGGAAAGTGAGAAAGCAGTTTGCCAGGTCTGGAACTCAAACTGTGGTCAGCCATGTGGGAGTCCATGTGCCTCAACCACCACGCCACTTGCTGGCCCCCATGCCATTTCTTTTATTTATTTATTTTTTCAACTGTCAGAGGCCACATGTACCTTCCAGAAAGAGACAGATTCAGGAAAAGAGAGGGAGGGAGAAAGCTCCCATCAATGGACCTGGTCATTCCCCAAACCCTTCCCTTTCATTTCTCCATTCTGTTGGAATTTGGGACATGCACTTACCTGCAACCAGTGTATTTTTCAAGCCACTGGGGCCAGGATTGGAACCATTTGGTTAGCCATATGGAATCTGGCTCCCTTAACCACTAGACTACTGAGCTGCCTCTCAGGCCATTTATAATTATTATCATTAATTAAATAAATTATAGTATGTCTACCAAAACAAACATACCAATTTTACATGACTTAAAGATATTCTTTGGTATAAATTTAGGCAGAAATTTCATTCATACACACGTAATGCTTTAGGCCTTGGAAACTGTGGACTCACACCATACAACTCTGTTTTTCATTGTAAAAAAGCACTTCTGTGGGGCCACCAGGTGGCGTGGTGGTTGGCATTGGACTTCCACATGGCTGACCACTGTTGGAGTCCCAGACCTGGCAGCTTGCTTTCTCACTCCCTCCCTCCTCTCTCTCACTCTCTCGCTCTCTCTCACTCTCTCGCTCTCTAGCTCTGTCCTTCTATGGTCAAATTAAATAAAGTTAAATAAAATAATGATTTTTTAAAGTGATTTTTTACTTAACTTTTAAAAAATTATTATTTTTCAGTTTGATCAGAGAGAGACAGAAAGAGAGGGAAAGTGAGAAAGCAAGTCACCAGGTCTGGGACTGGAACTGCGGTCGGCCATGTGGGAGTCCAGTGCCTTTAACCACCCACCACACCACCTGCCGGCTCCAAATAAAATAATTATTTTAAAAAATTATTTCTTTTATTTAAAAAAAAAAGCACTTCTGCAAAGTGAACATTTCAGTTAAGAATTTTTATTAGACAGTACTGCTTTTTTTTTTTGTTTTCTAACACACATCCTTCTTTGTCATCATCGGTGTTGAAAAGACAAACATACAACAAAAATGAACACAATAGTCGTGTGTAGACTACTTCTGTATGAAAAGGAATTTTCTTTTTTAATTTGTTAGAGAGGTGAGCAAGCAGATGGTGTGGTGGTTAGGGCGCTGGACTCCCACATGGGGGACTGTGGTTCAAGGCCTGGACCTGGCTGCTTGCTTTCTCACTTTCTCTCTCTGTCTCTCTCTCTCTCTCTGATCAAGTTAAATAAAATAATGTTAGCAAATAAAATTAAATAATTCTTAGAAAAAAAAATTGCTAGACAGTGTGTGCTTTCCCCCAGGGAAATGGCGATGCAGCAGCCCCTTTTCCTCTAAACTACTCTTTGAATTTTGAGTGCACATGTAAATGTATCCAGTATGTTTTTCAAGCTTCCAGGTCCAGGACTCAAATTATGCAGTCCGCCATGTGTGTCCCCACTGCCTTAACTACCACTCCACTAGCTGGGCCTGAAAAGGGATATTTAGGTTTTTTTCCTTGCAATTTACTTTTCATGTGAACTAGGAAAAAAGACTAGCAGAGTCTTTGCAGTTCAGATCTCTGTAGGAATCTGAAATGTGAATTGGAATGAAGTAATTAAGTCCTAGGGGGAAGTGACTTCCGGAAAAGGAAATTAGGGTATTTAGGAACCACAGTGAATTGAGATAGGACATGCTGATAAAGAACAAAGGAATCTACATACCCTGGATCTTGTTGTTTTTTGTGTCACAAATTTGGTTGTAATCTTAGACACCAGGGTAAAGACCAAACTGCAGGTAAGTGGCAATGCAGTTCCTACTATTATCATGTTAATGAGCCTGCTGCCTAGCTCTTTTAATTCTACAGCATAGTGTAGTTGTTGATTCTGTTAAACTACTGAGTAGCCTATCTGGGTTTTTTCTTTCTTTTTTTTTTTTTTTAAGTAAGAGTAATTCAGTAGAGAGAATCAATACGTACACTTTCAGGGTTGTCGTTCAAGTGAAAATTAACAATACATCTCAAGGCAAGCTTGTCTAACCTGTTTTATGTGTAGTATTCAGAAGTTAAAAAGTTAAAAAAAAAATCACTCTCCAGGAGTCCTGTGAGTAATTAAAAGATAGGCATAGGAATAGAAAGGAATTATGACTTAAATATTTTAGAGTTATGCTCACTGTGCCAGAGATGTGCCCTTAAAACAGTTGATAGTGGGCCAGCAGGTGGCATAGTGGTTGAGGATGCTGGATTCCCACATGGCCAACTACGGTTCAAGTCCTGGAGCTGGTGGCTTGCTTTCTCATTTTTCCTCTCACTGTCCCTCTCTGGTCTAAATTAAATAAATAACTAAAAGTTAAATAAAAATAGTTCTTTTAAAAAATTGACAGAGGGACCAGCAGTTAGCATAATGGCTGTGTCGCTGAACTCCCATGTAGCCGACCGTGGTTTGAGTCCTGGACCCAATGGCTTAAACTAACGCTGGGCACGTGTGCGTGCCCAGGATCCGGATAGGAGAATGGAGGAGAAGGGATTGTGGTGTGGCCATCCCCCCAGGGGGGTGATTTCTCGTTTTCTATCTCTCTGTCTTTCTGGCGAGAGCAAGTACCCTTTAGCAAAAACCTCTCCAAAAAAAAAAAAAAAAAATTGACAGATATTTGGGACCAACAAGTGATGCAGTGGTTAAGGTGCTGGACACATGTCCAACCCTGGTTCGAGTACCGGACTTGGCAGCTTTCTCTCTCTCTCTCTCTCTCTCTCTTTCTCTCTTTCTCTCTCTCTCTCTCTCTCTCTCTCTCTTTCTCGCGAGCACATGTTCCTTATTGCAAATTAAAACAAAATAATAATGAATAAAATGAAATAGATAAAAAACATTTGTCAGATTTTTTAGCAGCTCTGAGACCATACAGTTGTGGAGATTGTTTATTAATTCGTTTCTTTTATGTTTATAGGTATATATAATTCATCCAGTTTTTCCTTAGTCTCACATCAACCTAAAAACATTTTTTAAAATGTCATGTAAGTAAATTGTATTAGCTTCCTTTTCCCCATTCCACAGAATTATTTTTAGAATGGTTTCTGTAGAGAGAGCTCATGCCTGAACAGTTTTTCAAGATCCGTTCGTTTTGATTGGCATCCAAAAGTCCGCTTTTGTTCAGGTTTCACTTTCGATCATTACGGGTTTTACCCTGTGGCAGTTTTTGAAGAAATGGAATTCACTGAGTATCCCGGCGTTTCCTTCCTAAGCAGGCCCATTTCTCTACTGCATTATCGTAGCACCCACACTTCGGGCACCCCGGGACACCGTCCGGACACCGCCCACCTGGAGCGGGTACGAATCACGAGCCTCGGGATTGATGGACGGGTCAGCGCTGCAGTGGGCCTTGCGGCTGTCACCGCTGGGTGCCGCCAATTGGTCCAGGGGGAAGGCGCGGAGCCAATGGGAGCGTGGGCTTGAGAGAGTTCGTGGAGCGCGCGGGAAAGAGAGCAATATAAACTGTGGCGGGAGATAGCTTTTCGGTTTTCTGCTCCGCCAGCGCAGCGCCTTTGGCTGGGGAGTGTTGGTCTCCTCCGGTCTGAATATGGTGCGGACTAAGGCAGACAGTGTCCCTGGCGCCTACAGAAAAGGTGAAGCGATGGAATGCGGTGACCGAGGGCGGCGGAGGGTGGGGACCTGGGCACTGGGCACCACTCTGGTCCACCCTGCCAGGAAACAGCGTTCAGGGCCCTTTCGCTTGAGGAGAAAGCGACTGGCTGGGGGAAGGTTATCCAGCTGTTCTGGATCGCTGGGCTCTCCTCTCCAAGCTGCTGGGTGGGGGGGCTGGTGAGAAAGTGGCTCTGAGACTCGGTGTCCGAACCTTCCTGCCACTTCTGAACACCTTTCTTTGCCTCTCTTCCCAGTGGTGGCTTCTCGAGCTCCCAGGAAAGTGCTTGGTTCCTCCACTTCTGCCACTAATTCTAAGTCGCCTTCTTCCAGGAAAGGTAAGAAGTGCCCCTGCAGATGCCTGTGCTGAGAAGAACCTTCCTGAAAGGAGATCAGGCCTGGTACCACAGTCCTTGTAACCAGCGAGACCCCTGATCCACTGCGCAGTTTATTTTCTTTGAGATTCTCATGCCCAACTTACTTTCTCTTTCTTTCTTTCTATTTTTTCTTCCTTTCTTTCTCTCTTTCTCTCTCTTTCTTTCTTTCTGTCTGTCTGTCTGTCTGTCTGTCTCTCTTTTTGGAGAGATTTTTTTGCCATAGGGAACGTGCACTGGCCGAAAAGACAGAGAGAAATCATGCCCCAGGGGGTATGGCCATGCGCATTCCCTTCTCCTCCATTCTCCTCTCGGGATCTTGGGCACGCACGCACATGCAACCAGCATGAGTTTAAGCCACCAAGTCCAGGATACCATTGTGGTTGACTACATGGGGGTCCAGCGGCATAGCTATTACACCAATGGCTGGTCCCTATCTCACCCAACTTTCTTCCTTGCCCTCTGATATAATGATGAAGTGACCTTGGCCTTTGGTGGGATGAGTAGAGGTGAGATCTCATGGAACAGAATCTCAATCTTCGAGGTTAGTGACCATCACAGTTTATCTTCAAAGGTAGTTTTTGTTTTGGTTTGACATTTTCCTTTTTCTTTTTAAAAATTCATTTATTTTGGGGCCAGTGGGTGACATGGAGGTTAAGGCACATGACCCACGACATGGTTTGAGTCCTGGACCCCGTGACTTTTTAAAATCATGTTGGGTGTGCATGCATGCATGTGCCTGTCCAAAATCTCGAGAGTAGAATGGAGGAGAAGGGATTGTGGCATGGCCATCCCCTGGTGGGAGGAGGTGTGTGATTTCTCCGCCTTACATCATGAGCAGATGTGTGCTCTACAACTCAGAGAAGTCTCCAGACTTGAACCTGGACTCTTCCCATGTGTTGTACCTCACAGAGTGCCATGTTTTACCATCATGTTGCTATCTGGCCAGCATTTTAATTTTTCTTAACATTAACAGCTTTTTTGTTGTTGTTGTTAAAAGCGATTTAGTGGCCCTCACACTAGAATAAGAATTAGTACAATGGGTCACAGTGCTAGTTATGTTGTCTTATTATTATTTAGTTTTCTGTTCCTTCTTTCCTTCCTTTCCTTTTCCTCCTTTTTTCCCCCCAGTGGTGTCTTTATGTATGTTTTCCAACTTTGCAACTCCCTGCAATGCCTTTGGGAGAGTAGCAATGGACCGACAAGGGGTGCGGCTTCACACTGTGTTGGATAAATACACCCTTCCAGGGATCTTACAGATCACTTTCTTCTTTTTAGACAAGGTCTTGCCATGTCATTATCCTCTTGCCTCAGCCTCCTAACTATAGTCATGCCTAGCTCTTTTTCACACAGGATCTTGCTGTGTTGCCCAGGCCGACCTGGCACTGGCAATTCCTTGGTCTCGATCCCTCAAGTTGCTGGGCTTACAGATGTGTGTCACCATGCCTGGTTTTAGATCGAGCCAGAAATCAAACTGGGTCTCCCATGAGCCTGCAGAACACAGTATTTTAGCAGTGTGACTTACAGCTGGGCCCAGATTTCTATTTTTTATTATTTGTTTGTTTGATTGCCAGAGGGTATGTGTGCTCACCAGAGGGAGCCAGACAGGAAGATGGAGAAATCAGCTCCCAGTGGTGTGTGGTCATACCGCAATCACTTTTCCTCCATTTCTCCGTTCTGCTGGGATTCTGAGCATGCAGACAAACCTCCCCAGCATGTTTTTCAAGATGCTAGACCTGGGATCTGCCATGTGGCATCTGGCTTAACCACTAGGCCACACAACTGGCCCCAGATTTCTATGTTTAATCCCAATAATAGACTGTATAAAATTGGCAAATATCCTTATGTTAAAGGGGAAGAAACTTCCAAGATTATATAACTTGGTTTAGGTAAAACAATGAAATCAGAATTGGTGGATTTGAATCTGTTGCTGGTATGCAGGGACCTTAGAAAGTTCATGGAAAAATAGAATTAAAATATAAGTTAATTTCGTTCCTAGAAAATTTTAAATCTTTGCAGTTTTTTCATAATACATATTTTAGAACTTTTGGAAATACAAATATACTCTTTGTATATTTCCTAGTAGTGAAAGCATTTCCATAAGGTTCTATTGTGAAACTTACAAACTGAAGTATTACTATTTTTTTAAGTGATTTCTTTTTCTTTCTTTGTTTTTTTTTTTTTTTTTTGGTGTGGGGGAGAGATTTTCACTATAGGGCACGTGCACTCGCCAGACAGACAGAGAGAGACATAGGGACAGAAAGTGAGAAATCACCCCCCAGGGGGGATGGTCATGCCGCAATCCCTTCTCCTCCATTCTCCTCGCGGGATCTTGGGCACGCATGCACACGCACCTAGCGTGAGTTTTAAGCCACCGGGTCCGGGATGCGAACCGCGGTCAACTACGTGGGAGTCCAGTGACATAGCCATTATGCTAACTGCTGGTTCCCTTTTTTTTTTTTTTTTTTTTGCCAAAAGGCACATGCACACTTGCAAGAGATGGAGAAAGAGAGGGAGAAAGCACCTACCAAAGAGGCATTGCTATACCACAATCCCTTCTTCATTTCTCCATCCTGTTAGGATTTTGGGTGCACACACACTCATCCAGCATGTTTCTCAAGCCCCTAGGGCTGGGATTCAAACCATGGTTGGCCATGTGGGATCCAGCTCCTTAACTAGTTATGGAACTGACCTATAATTTTTTCTTTCTTTCCTCTTTTTTAATTTTTGCTATAGGACACATATGCTTGCCAGATAGAGAAAGGGAAAGTGGGAATTCACAACCCCTCCCAGGGGCGATGGCCCTGCCACAATCCCTTCTCCTTTAGTCTTGGGATTTTGGGCACACGCAGTAGGTGTGATTTTCAAGATGCCAGATCCAGAACTTGAACTGCACTGTCTGTCATGTGGGATCTAGTTCCTTAAGCTCCATGCCACCAGCTAGCCCGTAATTTCTATTTAAAAACAAAAAATAGTACAGGGCCAGCCTGTGATGTGGTGGCTAAGGTGACTGGATCCTAGATGGGCAGCTGTGTGGTTCAAGCCCTGCACTTGGCATTTTGAGAAACATGCTGGCCATGTTTGTGTCCATGCCCAAAATCCTAAATGGAGGGAAAAGTGGAGAAGGGATTGTGGCATGTCCATGGCCTGTGGGTGCCAAGGGTTGCCTTCTCACTTTCCCTTTCTATCTTGTGGGTGTGTACTCTCTGGCAAGTGCATGTACCCTCTGGCAAAAAGATAATTACTTCAGATGGTCTATATAGCTTCCTTTTCCTCCTCTTTTCATTGTGATATTTGATTGTATGTGTGGTGTGTTTTCTTTTCTTTTCTTTTTTCTTTTTTTTTTTGAGAGATTTTTGCTATAGGGTGTGTGTACTTGCCAGAGAGACAGCAAGCAAGAAGTTAACCCCCAGAGGGGATGGGCACGCTGCAATCCCTTCTCATCCATTCTCCTCTTGCGATCTTGGGCATGCACATTCATGCGCTTGGCGTGAGCTTTAAGCTGCCAGGTCCGAGACTCAAACTGCGGTTGACTATGGGAGTCCAGCAATATAACCATTACACCATCTGCTGGTCCCTGTATGGTGTGTTTTTAAACAGGTCCTCACTGTGTCAAGTTCCTTATTTTTAAAAATTATTTATTTAATTTTATTCATTCATTCATTTATTTCAATTTAACTAGAGAGAGACAGAGAGAAAGTGAGAAAGCAAGCCACCAGGTATGGGACTCCAACCGTGGTCGGCCATGTGGGTTTGTCCAGTGCCTTAACCACCATGCCACCTGCTGGTCCCAAATTCCTTCTACTTTACCTTCCCCAGTAGCAGGGATTATGGGCAATGAGTGGGCCAGGAATCGAACTTGAGGTCCCCACATGGCCTTAACCTGCTAAGCAGCACCATCTATTATACACCATCATGGCTGAGCCAGAACCAGCTTTAGAGATGGAGATTCAAAGAGAGGAAAACGTAGGATTTTTTTGTTTGTTTGTTTGTTTTTTAAGTTTTCTCCACGGAGCAGTTGTGCTTGCTGGAGTGAGAGAGATGCAGAGAGAGGAAAAGTGAGAAACCAGTCCCTGGGGGGATGACCATGCTGCAATCTCCACTCTCCTCTTGAGATTCAGGGCATGTACACACAAGCACCTGGCGTGATTTTCAAGCCACCAGGTCTGTGACTCAAACAACAATCAGCTATGTGGGAGGTACCTTAACCTAAAGCCTACAACACCTGCTGACCCCGACACGAATTTCTGATAGAATCTCACTATGTCACAGTGCTGCCGTAGCCCCCAGTTAGTGAGGGGTGCAGGCCTGCACTATTGTGCCCAGCCTGCTCAGGTTGGGGAAGTGAAGCTGGGCCTCCCACGTGGCCCCAGCCTCTTTCAGCAGTGCCCTGCTACTTGCACCACTGCAGCTGGGTCTGGAAACAACTTTTGTAAGTTGCTTTTTTTTAAAGGATGAGCTATTTTATTTTATTTATTATTATTTTTAGTTCGTTATAGGGCACATGTGCTCACCAGTGAGAATGAGGGTGTGTGTGTGGGGGGAAGCAAGCTGCTAGGTCTGGGACTTGAACCTCATTTGGCGATGTGGGAGTCCAGTGCCTTAACCATCATGCCACCTGCTGGTCCCATTGTAAGTTATTTTTAACAGCTAGCATTTGTGCAAAATGTTTTAACAAAAGATGTGTAGTAACTGGATAATTTGTCTCTGTCAGTTTTCTAATTTTTATAAAGGGACAAGAATTTTTTCTTTATCTTACGACTTAAAAATAGTCAGGAATTAAAAAAAAAAAAAAGTCAGGAATTGAGTGCTCTGGTGGTATAGTTGGTAGCAAATTGGATAACAGTGTTGGAAACTGCATAGCCAGATCCCCAGGTCAGCTTGAAACCATGCAAGGCATGTGGCCAGGATCCTGACAAACTAGAGGGCCAGGGAAAAGACTTGCCGTGTGATAAGACCCCGTTGGGGCTCTCCCTCCCTTTCTTTCATGCACGTGTGCTATCTATCATGAATTAAATAAACTTTAAAACAATAACGGAGGAGGGTGGGACAGGTAGGTGATGGACTCCCACATGGCTCACTGTAATTCCAGTCATAGTCCTGGTGGCTTGAAACTCACACCAAGCATGTGTGCCTAAAATCCTGAGGAGAATGGAAAAACAGAAATTGTGGCTTGGTCATCTCCCCTGAAGGGTAATTTTTCAGTTTTTCTGTCTCTCTGGTGAGCACACATGCCCTTTAGCGAAAAATCTCTTTTAAAATAAAAAGGCAAGAACTGGTACCAGCAGTTAGCATAATGGCTATGTTGCTGGACTCCCATGTAGTCGACCGCGGTTCAAGTCCCGGACCTGGTGGCTTAAACTCACACTGGGCATGTGTGCGTGCGTACCTAAGATCCCGAGAGGAGAATGGAAGAGAAGGGATTGCGGCATGGCCATTCACACTGGGGGATGATTTATCGCTGTCTGTCTCTCTCTTTCTGGCGAGTACACACGCCCTATAGCAAAAACCTCTACAAAAGAAAAAGAAAAAGAAAAAAAAAACAAGAACTGGAATTCCCTTTTGAACTGAAAAGGAGCCAAGTATTTTGAAAAGTGGGACCTACTTTCATGGAAACTTACATTGCTCTTTTTTTTTTTTTTTGAGCGAGAGAGGGAGTTGTTTGTGTTTTAAAGATTTTTGTTCTAGGGCATGTGCACTTGCTGGAGAGACAGGAACAGAAAGCGAGAAATTACCCTCCCCCCCAAGAATGACTATGCTGCAGTCCCTTCTCCATTCTCTCTGGATTTGAGGCACACAGGCACACATGCCTGTCATACGTTTCAGAATGTCTGGTCTGGGACTCCAACTGCAGTGGACCACGTGGGAGTCCAGTCCCCACTCACTATGCCACCTGCTAGCCCTACATTGCTTTTTTTTTTTTTTTTAGTTTATTTCTTTCTTCCATGAGACAGAGAAGCAGAGAGAATTAGAGAATTAGAGAGAGGAATACCAATAACATGGTTTTAACGCAGTGATTCCCATCCCCTCTCTCCCGGATCACAGGCATGCATGTGCTTGGTGTGTACAGGGAACCCTTCCCATGCAAGCCCAGCCACCTTTTCATGTGGCTTCAGTACCATGCAGTGTGTTGAGTTCTGTTACCCCGACACCACTGCAGCTGGCCTGCATTGCCTTTTATAATGTGCTTTAAGTAGGTGATCTTAAGTAACATTTTATGGGTGTCACCCAGTGGATGTGCCTATTATCCCAGCCTGAGCAATATAGTGACACCCTGTATCAAAAAATAAGAATTTTTGGCAATTTATACTACATTGGTGTCACTTCTGTTAGTAAAAAGTGTGTCAAACTTTCGTGTGACAGTACATAAGACTATTCAAAAAGTTCTGCTTGTGGCCAAATTATGAAAAATATTTTCTACTTTAAAGCTTCTGTTATCACTATTTTTATAGGATAACTACCAAACTGAGTTTATTGACTGAATACAGTTTTATTGTGTCATATTATCTAATTATTTAAGATAGGTATAATATTAGTTAATACTATGAGAAATTGATGTTAAAGAAATAGTTAAATTACTTAAGAAACAGCGGTTAGATTCTTAGTTCTAATTTAGTTCCATCTGTTTCTATTTTTCAGCTGAAAATAAGTACGCAGGAGGGAATCCAGTTTGTGTGCGCCCAACTCCCAAATGGCAAAAAGGAATCGGGGAATTCTTCAGGCTGTCCTCTAAAGATTCTGAAAAAGAAAATCGGATTCTTGAAGAGGCAGGAAGCAGTGGCTTAGGAAAAGCAAAGAGAAAGTAAGTTTTTCTATTCTGAAATATAAAGAAAATATATATCTTTTTTTTTAATGATTAACCTCTTTATTTATTTATTTATAATTATTTTTAAATTTTATTTATTCATTCTTTTTTTTTTTTTTTTGAGAGAGGTTTTCGCTATAGGGCATGTGCACTTGCCAGACAGATAGAGACATAGAGACAGAAAGTGAGAAATCACCCCCCAGGGGGAATGGTCACGCCGCAGTCCCTTCTCCTCCATTCTTCTCTCGGGATCTTGGGCACACACGCACACGCACCCGGCATGAGTTCTAAGCCACTGGGTCCGGGACGCAAACCGTGGTTGACTACGTGGGAGTCCAGCGACATAGCCATTACGCTAACTGCTGGTTCCCTCATTCATTTATTTTGACCAGAGAGAGACACACAGAGAAAGAGGGAGAAAGTGAGAAAGCAAGCCACCAGGTCCAGGACTCGAACCACGGTTGGCCCTGTGGGAGTGTCTAGCGCCTTTAACCACCACGCCACCTGCTGGTCCCAAGAAAATATATATCTTTTGGGAAAAAAAAAAATAAAGGCAAATGGGATATTGGATAGCCTTAAAGTTTATCTTTGAGCCAATAGGAAAATAAAACTAAAGACTTTTTAAAACTTGTACTATCTTTTATTATTTGTTTTTTAAAATTATTTAATAATTTTTATTATTAACAATTATTTCATTTGCTTTTAGAGATTTTTGCTATAAGGCACATGCACTTGCTGGAGAGACAGAAAGCAAGAGAGAAATCATTCCCTGGGGGGATGGCCACACCACAGTCCCTTTTCCTCCATTCTCCTCTTGGGATCTTGGGCACACACGTAGATGTGCGAGTGTGAGTTTTAAGCTGTCAGGTCTGGGGCTACATGGGATTCCAACACCATAACTGTTAACACCATCTGCTGGTCCCCCCAATTTTTTTTTTTTTATTTCCAGAGTGCTTGTATGCTCACCAGAGAGAAAGAGAAAGCACCCCCTAATGGGGTATGGCCATGCCACACTCCCCCTTCCTCCATTTCCTTTTGTCAGGATTCTGGGCAGGCCCCTACATGTGTCCCTGTGTGTTTCTCAGGGTATCTGGCCTGGGACTCTAATTGCAGTTGACCATGTGGGATCTAGCTTTCAATGCACAGTGCTTTACCACTGTGCTGTGAACTGGTTCCTTCACTAATTTTTTTTTTTTTTTTTT